TTTCAATGCCTATATCTACCTATTGTAAGATCATTAGAAGCTCAATAAACAATATGATTAATTTCTGCGCCTGCCACAATTATTTTTAACATCACTAAAATTACCTATGGCAACTTTTCTGAACTCAGAATATAAGCTCGAGCATGATTTGGAGGGTTGTTGAGATTAGGTATTCATTCAATTTTAAAGATGAACGTGAAATGATAAAACATCTACTGTCATTTTTCCAACTGTTGCTCAGAAAGTCAGTAAAGGCTTTTCTAGTGAAGATGAAGCCTCCGCTTATATATTGTGGAAAAATTGAACATACACAGGTTAAAGGAGTAATACCTAATAATTTATTGAATCAATTCATAGTGAATAAATGAAGTATAGCTTGTGAAAATGGCGCCAGCATGAAATTCAAGTTCAATCGAAAATATGCGCATAAACAGCGCCAAAATCGGAAAGTTTGATTTCCCGCGAAAGTCGGGTTACAGCGCCCGCATAAACCCGACGGAGGAAACTTGCATTACAAACTCGGGTTTCGTGAAACCCCGGTTTCGAGCCTCGCATAAACGTAGCTTATTATCTCTCTTTTGAACGATTTCCATTATCGATCCTCTGCGTGCCCCTGCCGTATGTGGGTCGTGTAAACAAACGCAGATTGATAACACTTCTTCTACACAGATGGTAGCAAAACTAAAGATCATACTACAGGAGCAGTAATCAGCCAGGACATTGCTGTCAAGAGAACATTCATCCTGAATAAAGACAGAACAATTATGAGTGCGGAACTGAAAGCGATCAGAGAAAGCCTCAACCTAATCTCCCTATACAACGTAAGAAAAGCAGTAATATGCACAGATTCACTAAGCTCTATCACACTTCTCTCACAAAAGGATACTATCACGGACAACCTGGAATTAGAAGAAGTTCACCATTTCCTCGCCCAAAATAAAGACCTAATATTGACATGGACCCCAGGTCATGAGAATATCGCAGGCAATGAGATGGCTGACAAACAAACCAAAGACCTCCATAACGCCACAGACTTCTCTAAAGAATTAATCCACTACTCTAACTACCAACGACTAACCAAAAGTTCAGTATTGAAACAGTGGCAAAGAGACTGGACTGAGAGCACACAAACTAAGGGAGCCAGACTAGGATCAATCCAACCGGTCATCTCAATGGAAGCCTGGTTCAGCCGTATAATATTAAGTAAGAAAGCTACCAACATAATATCCAGAATGAGAATCGGCCATGGGTTATTCCCAGAACATCTCAACCGAATCAGATTGAAAGATAATGATAAATGCACTTGTGGCCAGATAGGAACTATCGACCACATCCTCCTCCACTGCACAAAAATCAAACAACCTACAAATATCTACAACCTCATGAGAACTCCGGATCCTCAAGTGATAATTGACTCCAAAACTATCTTAGCAAGAACTGAAATCGAACTATACCAGGAACTAGAATCCCACATAATCAGTAATCAAATCTCATGTTAAAATTCCATCATTTAGCGGTGGCTGTTTGTCTACTCGACTAAGGCCAATAACTAAACCTAGAGTGCGCAAGCTCTCAAAAAAAAAAAAAAAAAAAAAAAAAAAAA